GGGGGGGGGGGGTGCAGGTGAGAAGAAGAGGAGTATCTAAAGATGAGAAATACAATATTTTGATTACAAGTATTCAATATGAGTAGAGTAGTGATTGTTTGCCATAACAAATAAATAGTAACTGTATCTAAATGATAAGGCAAGCTGTTGACGGATGTCATTGACAGAAGGTTGTCTTGTTTATTGAAGCTACATTGTACCAAGATGAGAGTTAACTTGGGTACCCTTCATCTTAACTGCCATTGTGGCTGTAGCTATATGAATATTTTTGAGAAGTTTACTGGCCGGTTGTTATACATCTGTTGACATATCTGCTTACCGAACTTCTTACATTTTTTGCTACTGAACTACTTACATTTTGCATACACACTGAAGATTGGTGATTATCCTTGAGACAACTAAGAGATGGCTTTGTATCTGGTGTTCTTTTGGGGTGTTGGGACGCAAGTTAAAATAAGAGGAGTATCTAAAGTGAGAACTACAACATTATGATTCGAAGTATTCAATTGAGTAGAATAGTATTTTTTTCGTAACTGACTAACTGATCTAAATGTTAACATAAGCTGTTGATGGATTTCATTGACGGAATGTTGCTTGTTTATAGAAGCTACATCGTACCAAGAGGAGGGTTAAGTTGTGTGCCTTTCATCTCGAGCCATGGTGGCTGTAGCTATATGAATATATTGGAGAAGTTTTACTGGCCGGTTGTTATATAAATCTATTGACATATCTGCTTACCGAACTTCTTACATTATCTGCTTACCGAACTTCTTACATTACCGAACTTCTTCAGTATGTTTTGCATGCATACTGAAGATTGTCTATTCGGGCTTTCTATTTGTGATTACCCTTGAGACACCTAAGAGTTGACTCTGTGTCTGGTGTTCTTGGAGGGTGTGGGGATGCAAGTGAAAATAAGAGGGGTATCTAAAGTGAGAAATACAATGATATGACAAGTATACAAATGAGTAGAGAAGTGATTGTTTACTGTTGCCATCTGTTATGCTTTTCCTTGAGTTTATGTTGAGTGATTTTGTGGATGCAGAAAGGTGGTAAGGTTGTCGATTGCACAGGTTTTGACTGTGATCTCACAAAAGCAAAAGTCCGTTCTTCGGGAAGCTTACAAGAACAAGAAGTACTTGCCTCTTGACCTTCGCCCCAAGAAAACAAGGGCAATCCGCAGACGTTTGACTAAGCACCAGGTATCTTACGTCTTAATATTGTATCTCATTAATCGGAGTGCTAAGGATTTTTGTTTTTCTAACTTAGTGAATGAAGTTTGTAACGCCAACCAGAAAGATAAACGAACAATTTGATTGACTTATTTTCTTTATCACTGCAGGCATCCTTGAAGACAGAGAGAGAGAAGAAGAAGGAGATGTATTTCCCCATAAGAAAATATGCTATCAAAGTTTAGGATAGGATCTACTTCTGCTGAGATTTTTGAATTTTGGATCAAAATTACTTGTCAAACTTACAGCAATACAAATTTTGTTTTGCTTTGTTTCATCCGACGCATTTGACATTTGATACATGACAAGTATGGAGCTTCATTTTTTCTGAATGTTGGTTGTGTTAGACTATTTTATGTTGAATAGCCTGTTTGTTATTAGTGATTGTATGCTATTGAAAATTTCTTATCATTTGTGTCTTACTAGTGTTAGAGTATTGTTCAGTTTGTCCATCACTCCTTTAAAAGAAGTAACTGTTGGGTTTACAAAGTGAAGACTCTTGTGGAATTCTTGAAATTTACAATTAAATTTTGAAGTTGGTATTCGTTTTTATTTTCCTCGTGCAATTTTTGATTTTTTTCCTAAGGTGAATATTTGATGTCTGAAGATTTATGTCAAGTGAATTTTCAAATCATCAACTTTCTTGAAAGACCCAACTATTAAGGGAGCAATCTCCCTAATTTTTCGGAAGTTACAGATTTTGGCCAAGCATACCGATATTAACGAGCAACGTTAAGACCTGCGAGAGAGTAACCTGTTTTCTTGGAAGACTTTTGAGCTTAATTGACTCCCTTTGAACTTAGAAGAGTTACTTGAGCAGAGTAACATGTATAGTAGTTTTAAGGGTACAGGTTTTACAAGACAAAGAATGGAAAGGGCGTATACGAGACTTCCACATATCAGATATTGACTAGTCTGATAAAAATTAAAGCCTTTGGCCGAAATATGAAAGCACCAACAAATATGATACAAATAAGGCAAAATATCTTATCACCCCCTAAACTTGACACGGATTATTAGTTACAGTCTTTAACTATTCGCGGTCTTGATTACACCCCTTAACTTGACCTTTTGAGAGCCATTACCCTCCTGGACGCTGATGTGGCAAAAGTGTGGGTGCACTCGCCTGCCACGTGGGGTTTTCTGTATATATGGCATTTTTTTGAAAAATAAAATATATTTTTACTGTTATAAGTATGTTACAATTGCAAGAAATAACTTTTTATTTCTAACATACTTATTGCTCTAAAAATGTATCTATAGAGTAAGTTATTTCTTGCAATTGTACTCTTTTTATTTCTTCTTCTGATGCAATGACTATTTATATCAACTGTGTATTTTTACTTGTTTCACGTGAAATCTGTAAAAAGATATATTTTTAGAGCACCACAATTTAGAGCTATATAAAATATTATAGCCAAAATAATTAATTTCAAACTATGTATCTTTATAACTTTTTAGATGCCTTGACTATTTATTTCAATTGTATAAATCTTTATTTTCAGGTTAAATTCAAAAAAAAATTAACTAAAACTTTATTATTTTTAGCCAAATAAAAAAATTTAGCATAAACAATATAGTTCTATCCAAGTTTTATTATAAATTGTATTCGAAAAAAATTATCTAAAAATGTAACATACTTAAAAAGGTAAAAGATATATTTTATTTTTCAAAAAAATGCCACATACAGAAAAATCCACGTGGCAGGCGAATGCACTACACTTTTTGCCACATTAGCGTCCGAAAGAGTAATGGCTCTCAAAAGGCCAAGTTAAGGGGGTAATTAAGACCACGAATAGTTTAATGCTGTAATTAATAATGTAAGGTATTTTGCCTACAAATAGAAGTTCTTTGATGTGTAGTAATCCATAATTTGACCTTCTTACGTAAGATATCAATTTCACCTATGTTTGACAAGATGAAAACCGACAAAAGCACATATGTCACATTACATATATAGAGGCAAGATGCAGATACAAGATTTAAGCTTTATGGGTTCCAATCTCGAATTCTACTACAATTCATTTGATTTACTAGGTTCGAGATATATTATTTGTTCTTTTTTAGTGAATTTTTTAACACGCATACAAGTTCTGAGCCAAAGTTACTGGTTCGTATGAACCATAATTAAAGAACTAGATCTGCCTCCGGAAGAAACTAGCATGCAGGTTTCGTATGATCAGCACATGCTTCTGGTGGCCGGGGAATAGATTGCCAACCTGTGCAGATCTGAAGAACAGCTTTGAGGGAGTCTGAGGCAGGTTCCAGTGTCCAGACAGGATAAAATTCACTTGGATGAAAAACACACTCTTCACCAACACCTGTTAACAACATTCCCTGAGCTCCATTAAGAAACAAGTCACCTTCAGATCTGATTAAACCAGTCTTTGCTTCCTCCTTATCTGCTGCCTAATTAACCAAAACGGATTCAAAAGCCCAAAACGAAAACATATATAGACCCTTCATAAATAAAAACAATATAGTTGGCATGTAAGTAGTTAGGAGAAATAGAATAACCGTAAGAAACGTTAATATTTTTTCGACACATTAAGAACCCCAACACTCCAACATTGAAACCAAACGACACTCTAAGCTTGGTCTTTTTTGGTATTATACTTTAGCAATGTCATGAATCATGCTGAATCACCAGCAACAAATTCCCATGTCACTTATCAATAACGAAGCTATTATTTTAGTAATATACTAATTTAGTAAATACGTAACATGTGGTTTTTACATACACGCTTATCACTTTTATCCAAATTTATGTACTGAAATATCAAAAGACGCCAAGGAATAACTTGCAAGGGCATTTATATTTTGAAGAAAACTCAAGACTATTGGCAGGACCAATGTTGCTCTAAGCTGGAGATACAACGAGAATTGATGTAAAATTACTATAGCTCAAGTATACAGTTAACCTATGGGTCATTTCGATGTGCCTAACAAATACGAAGGTCATCAACAGCTTTTACCCACAACTCGTCCCCGGGCTGCTTTCCAGCTATGCGCCATAATCCGTACGGCACCGTGTAACAGTACGAACAATCGTACTCAGTAATTATAGGGATAAGAGGAGTTCAACAAGTTTTCAGATTCTGGTTCATTGAAAAAATCGGAGATATCAAAGACACTTCCATACCAAATAGGAGAAGCATGGACACCAAAAAGTAATAACGAAATTTTTAGGGAAAGACTCTGCTTGGATTTTTTATTTTTTTTGAGACTGAACTCTGTTTTGAAATTTTCACCATAAATTGTTTTTGTTGGTAGTAATTTTCACCATAGGATCACACTTGATCAAATCCAACTTTTACAAATCATTTTTATTTTTTATCACAGCGATGTTTGGATTAGCTCGCGCACACCTCAATTGATCTACCAAGCAGCCTGCAACAAGTCTACAACCATAACCACAAGCGTCATTGTAATCCTACCCGCTAAGGGTGAAGTGGATAGGCTCATATTGAATGTTGTAGCTGGAAGTGGAACCCAGAATCTCCAAATTGTTACTCCTATTCCTATACCTCAAGTCCTCAACCACTCAACCATACCCTTGGGGATAAATCACTTCTAAATCTAGTACAAGCAATTCGGATCTAGTCTATCTAACTCATAATTGATCCATCTTCGATATCAAGTACTTTAGGATTTCATTTAAGTTAAGCCTGATAAATCTACAGACCGTGATTCAAAAAAACTATTTGTTCCGGTTACATGGTGTAATTTTAAAATAAAATAGACCGAAAAAAATAAATCGCATACAAAATTTAAAATATCTAGAGATTAGCATAACTTTGGCAAAATTTGATGCAAAATTGGGTTTGCTCCAATTATCACTGAAGCAAACTAATATGTCTCAAGTCTCCTCTTTAAATCAAGGAGTCCAGAAGTCGATTAAATCCTCCGAGAACTAGAACTGGAAAATTGGTTGTACTTGCCTTATTCAACTTCGACTAAAAGACTTCCCAAACATTATGTTAAAGGATCAAATCTTGAGAGTGCTACAACTTCTAACAAATAGAGTATACTTTCCTCAAGCACTCACAGGCAGATTAAATTTATCGAACAACTAGAAAACTATTAGAAAGGAAAATAGTAAAACAAAAAAAACCTTTTTCAACATACGCTATAAGTGAACCATGTATCAATTTGGGTTGCAAAATCACTAAGAAAACCATCTGTAAAAGATAAAACCTTCACCTTGAAAAACCAAAGATAGTGATGCTGTGCTAATTAAAATGCATTGCATTACCTTCTCTGTGTAGTATTCAAAAGCTTTTTTCTTCTGTGTAGCTTCATACATGTTGCATTGAGAATATATCTGGAATCAACAATGGCAAACAATATACTTAGTTATAAATTATTGACACGCATCAAACTGCATCCTGGAAGAAGCAAATTAACCTGTGATTCTACGCTGGCACAAATAGCATATATACCCCAATTTCTAGTGTAATTGTTGTACAAATGAACTTTTCCAAATCTAACACGAGGTTGCCTCTGCCGTGTGCCATCGAAAAAGCAATGGTGGATGGTCACTCTGATACATCTATCACCAATATGAGACGGGTCTGCTCCAATAAGCACTGTCTTATCATGCTGAGCAAAATAACATCTGCAGAAAATATTCCTTAGGATCATTAATCTGCCGTGGAAAATTATCTCAATGTACAGAATCCGAGAAACAACGACCAGTACCTAGAAATAGTGATATCCGTGCTTTGTCTGGTTATATCGATTAGCCCATCATCATAATCACGAAGAGAACAGCGGTCTATCCAAATGTGCCTAGAATTTGGTTTTATTTGAATGCCATCAACGTCATGACCTCTGCCACCTTCAAACTCCAAATTGCACACGATTATGTGCTCACAATCCTTCAATTGTAAGCCTTTGCCAGTGAGTTTTATCCTTTGGCCCCGACCATCAATAGTTTTATAAGATGACACACGTAGGTAAGATGCGAGATGAATGGTGCCTGAAACTTCAAAAACAATCCATAGTGGTTCTTTCTTACGGCATCCATGACGAAGTGATCCTGGACCATCATCTACAAACAAGAAAGTGATGGTGTTAACTTTTGGAAGCTACCTACTCCACCTAGATGAGTAACATATGAGATTTTAACTACAAACTGGCATGTCTCAATCTTTTGGATGCCCAAATTAAGTTCTTAAGAGCAAACCATGTTTATGCACAATAAGCACCAACAGATTCAAGTTCTACTACTTTTTCTTTTTTTATAAAGATTATTAAGTTGTACATCCTCTAAATTAAAGTCATCTTTTCTTTCTTATTAAGTTGTACATCCTCTAAATTAAAGTCATCTTTTCTTTCTTAGGAGAACAAGAAGGGAATAGAAAAACAGCATACTATTAGTTAGAATGTAAAATAAGATAGGTACTCGTACTTCTTTATTAGGCGAAGACATACTGAGACGATCCACCCCCTTATAACAAGAAACCGGAGAGCGGACAGCTAATGCATTCCACTTATTGAACGGGGTTCTATGGTCGGTCCGTAACCCCTGGATGCCGAGCAGATAATGTATAAGGCCTTTGGTAATCCAGCGGAATCCAGAGGGTAAAAAAAGGGCACCCCGGTGCATGCATTAACTTTAACTGATGAAAAAGAATTACTAGTATTTATTGACATGACATTTTCTACATTCTAGCCAAGTTAATCCGAGGGGGATAATAGTTACTACTATCCAAATTCATGTGGAAAATCATCTGAAGTGAGAATTTGATCAACCTTCATTAGCCTCTTTTAGATAACCGAACCTTCTTTAAACTTTTCGTGACAATTAACTTTTTCTGAACAGATTATCAACTTGTGTAGACAACCTATAAAAAGAATATACCTCATTAAATCTACATAAACTATACCAGCTTAACTATAGCTACAACATTTGGTGCTAATCATATCTTAATTCAGATAAGCAGTTCCAATGTCATGCACATTAAATACCTGAAAGTGCATCTGGTATGGAGAAAAAGTTTTAGAATGAAAAAGTTTTTCGAGAAATGTTTTACCTTATGAAATCATTCTGCGGATCATTTTGCTATTTGGTCGGATAGGTGACATACAGTAATCCTACAAGGAGTAGTACATGTCATAAGGATAGTGGGACAGTGTTCTGAGGATACTTTCTGAGCATAAGAGGCTGAAACCTAAGTTGCTCGCACGGGTGCGGGTGTCCGACACGGGTGTGGATCTAGAGGTCAGATCCTTCGAGATGTAAATTCTAAGATCCGGGAATATAGATCCTAGTACGGATACGGGTGGGAGGATCCCGCTAAAATTAATTAAAAAAAATAAAAATATAAAAAAATCTCTAGATAATGAGAAATTTTGTAGAATACCTACGTTTGGCTTGTAAAGTGTGGATTTCTTTTTTTTTTTCCTCAAGTTGTAGATAAGTAAAAGATTGATTTCCCAGATAAGGTATGCTATTTTCTTCCAATTTACCCTAGTTTTGGTTCTGATTTAAGGAATCAAATTGTATCCCGTCTTAAATTTTTCCATTCGTCGTGGTCAAAGTACCCAAAATTATTTGACCGGATTCAGTACGGATCCCATACCCACGCCCATACTAGTGTCGCATCGACACGGGTACGGCGCCTAAACTGCCATGTCGGAGCAACTTAGGCTGAAACAATGTCTAAAAGCTACTCCCTCAGCTTCAAATTATGTGATATAATTTGATTTGACATTGAGTTAAGAAACAAAGGAAGACATTTGAAACTTGTAGTCTTAGAAGTGCTATAAAATTTTTGTGGCTATACAAATTTTGACGTTTGTACTATTAAATATGCTATAACATTTGCGCGGCTATAAAAACTTGTCATTCATGGTAAAAGAGAAAGTTTAGTTAATTTGTCTTAAATATATAAATATGTTATTCTTTTTGAACGGACTAATAAGAAAATAGTGTCACATGAAATGAAACAGACAGAGTAATTGAATCAAATAACAGGGAATAAAAGTCAGACAAGGGAAAAAATTATTTACACCCCGTGTTTACACCAAAGCACATTAATTTATCGTAGTGAAGTGACAATTGAGATGATAATATATATTAACTTAACCAGATTAAGTCATAAGAGTGTACATAAAAAGCACTTTGTTATGTATTTATTAAATTGGTATAACGCCAAATAAACGCCTCCGTCCCAAACAAGCGAGTTCGATTACATGAATCCTCACTGACCATGTTACTTTCTTTCAAACTCATCTAATGCCAATATTATGCAAATGCAAATAAAAGGATTAAAAGTACTGTATATTTTTGTAAGGCATAACAAAGTCCAAGACCAGCACGGCCATCAACTAAAAACTGGAGAATTATTCTATCATAGCAATCTGCTTTTACATACAAAATTAATAATGATCGCGGTTCTTATACCCAAAGCACGATATTTTATTCACATTCGATCAATGAAGAAGGAGGAAGAACAAACCGGCCAATGTAGTGACGGAATAGACCGGACCATTTAGACCGCCGATGGAAAACCTGCCAAATCCTTCGGCTCGACCGGCTAAAGCTTTTAAGCTCGAATCTACATCAGAATATGGTAACACCGCCATTGTTAAGCAGTAATTTAGTTTTTACTTAGCTCTAGGTTTTCGCGTTAAACCGGTAAATTTTAGCAGGCCGTTGAACCGGAAAATTAAATACTGAATATTTGGATCGGCCACATATTTATAAGTACGGCACACAGTTAAGGGTTTAGCCCACTAAATTGGAAACATTTAAATTGGCAACAGACTTTTTACTACAAATAACCATTATTCTACATTTACACATATGACTAATTTAGATTTGTGTCGAAAATGTATAAAAGAATAAAGGGCTGATGAAAAAGAAAAAGAGAAAGAATAAAGGGCTATCTATCAAAAGGAAATTCTATTCACACGACTCGATATTTCTAATTAAAGAAATAATTTTTTTATCCGAGATCGCATGTTTTCTAGACGTGTTTAATTCCTACGCGATGTATAAAATATATTTACACAATGAGTCGAACCTTAATTGGTCAATAACTCCTCGATATGAACCTATGGAGTTTACTCTTATATTAATTGAAATTGAATACTAGAATATAATTTTGATTTTGTGGTGTTTAGTTTTAGGACTCAATTTTTTTCACCATGAATCAAAAAGAAAATGTAGGATGAAAAATATTTTACGATGGTGCTACGAAATGGTCCTAAGCATGTATGAAATATTTGAAGTCTACTGAACTTTTTACGTAGGTTTTCAATTTTTTCAATTATCCATTTGATACTTTGTTCGAATGACCAATAAGTTTAAATGGTGAAACATGACGATTGAGGATTTATATTGCCATAGCATCGTATTTATCCGAATCCCGTATTTTTTATACAGAATATAAATTGCTATGTGAAAATCTACAAAAATTCTAACTAAATTTTAGAACTAAAGCTATAATTTTAGAAGTATAATGAATTCAGTTTATACTAAGAACTTTGAATATTAACTCTATCAAGTTAAAATTCTGAATTCATTTCTAACAATATAGATAAGTTGGCTTTGTATCAATTGGTGAGAATAGAGAGACAATAATAGACAGGTTTTAAAGATATTGCAGTTGGAAACATTAATTAAGGATCAACTTTTACTAATATCTTAAATGGCTTGAGAAAGTGGTTATAACATGTTACTATTGTGTATCTTTATTTGTTTCTTTATGCATTTAGGTGTTCAGTGAATATTAAACAGGGATTGAAAGAGTAGTGGTAGGAGTTGTTTGGTAAGATGCATTAGGAAAAATAATATATTAGTTTTGGTATTATTAATCTTTTATTTGGTAATGTTTTTCAACCTATATATAACTAATACCTATATTAGTTATACACCATATTTAGTATTATTCTTATACATAGCAAACCAGACATTAGCAATACATAGCTTTTAATACATGGATAAGTATGTATAAAGATAGAACCGCTCTTTCAAAACCATTTCCAAATCATTTCCAACATTTTTGTAGTATATTTTTGTAAACAAATAATTTTTAAAAGAAATTATGCAATGCATGTTATTTTTAATATACCAAATCAAGCAGTTAATAAGTAATAATTTCAGCATAACTAATTCCAACATTATTATAATCATATTCTTAACATTACTATGCATCCTATAAAGTATTATTCTTATATATCCTACCAAACTAGCTTAAAACACAGTTGAATGATGAATGGTCAGTAATTCCACCATGTCAAACATCAATAAACTTTTCAACAGTGGTAATTTGGCTCTATTATTGAATTTATTGTCAAACATCTGGCTCACATCTTTGGTACTTAGTTTCAAGGTTAGGTTGGTACTCCACTTTGATATTCACAAGTGATACTTTAACTTACTAAACTTTTTATACCTGGTTAACTATCTAATAACCATTGTTACTAATTTATTATGAACAATTTCTTCTAATTATCTTTAAAGTAATTTGATGCAAAAAGGGATCTCTACGACAACCTGTTGTCTGAAATCTACTAGCAATTGCCATTGTACTTTCCTCAAGTTGTGCCATTTTCCTCCAATTTTTTTTTTTTTTTTAATATTCCCTTCGTCTCAATTTATATAACACACTTTCTTTATTAGTCCATGCAAAAAAGAATGGCACATTTCTATATTTAGAAATAATTTAACTTTAAACTTTTTATTTTACATATTTTACCCCTAGTGAGAAGCTTTTGTACCCACACAAATGTCATGGCCCCACAAAGCTTTTGCGCTGTAAGCTTTTAGTACTACATATTTCAGAAATCTTATGTTTTTCCTTAAACTTTGTACTCAGTCAAACTATATTATCTAATTTGGAATAGAGAGAATATTTTTTTTTGTGTTACGCGCTTTAGGAGAGTAAACTACACTCTCTATCTTATGTGGTGTCTCAAGAGTGTAATAATTTCACTTTGAACACATATACAGGGTAACAAGAATGCCCACGCCATTTTCATTAATTTGGGCGACGGGCTCCAAATCGCTTATAAAATTTTGTGGGCCCGGATGCATGCAAATGGCGCGGGCTAAAGCACACGAAAATCTGTTAATCGGGTAGAATTCTAGTTTTATGGCCCTAAAACGCCGAAAATGAGGAATGATCGCGGCGAGGCGAAAACAATTGTTCCTTAGGTCATTTTTTATGGTCTGGCAAAATTTTAGGCGATCCGGTCCGGTGGCCTGGATGCATGCAGATGGCGTTGGCTATAGCACACGAAAATCTGTGAATCGGGCGAAATTCCAATTTTATGGCCCTAAACATCAAAAATGAGGAACGGTCATGGCGAGGCGATGACTATTGTTCCTTAGGTCATTTTTTATTGTCCGGTAAAATTTTAGGCTATTCGGGTTCGATCACTCGGATGCATATAGATGACGTGGGCTATAGCAGTCGAAAATTTGGGAATCAGACGGAATTCCAGTTTTATGGCCCTAAAGCACCAAAATACGAGGAAAAATCGAGGCGAGGCGATGACTATTGTTCCTTAGGTCATTTTTTATGGTCCGACTAAATTTAGGGGAATCAAGTCCGGCCGCCCGGGTGCATGTAGATGGCGTGGATTATAACACACAAAAATCTGAGAATCGGGTGAAATTTCAGTTTTATGGCCCTAAAACGCCAAAAAATGAGGAACAGTCGTGGCGAGGCAGTTACTATTATTCCTTAGGTCGTTTTTGATGGCCTGGCAAAATTTTAGGCAATTCGGGTCTGGTCACCTGGATGCATGCAGATGGCGTGGGTTCTAGCACGCGAAAATTAGGGAATCAGGCGGAATTCTAGTTGTATGGCACTAAAACGCCAAAAAATGAGGAACGGTAATGGCAAGGCGATGACTATTGTTCCTTAGGTCGTTTTTGATAGTCAGGCAAAATTTTAGGTGATTCGGGTCCGGTCGCCCCGATGCATGCAGATGGCGTGAGCTATAGGAGTCGAAAATCTAGGAATTAAGCGGAATTACAGTTTTATTGCCTTAAAACGCAAAAAAATGAGGAATGGTCTTGGCGAGACAATGACTATTGTTCCTTAGGTCGCTTTTGATTGTCCGAAAAATTTAAGGCGATTCGGGTCTGTTCGCTTGGATGCTTGCATAACGCGTGTACTATAGCACACAAAAATCTGAAATTGGGCAGAATTTAAGTTTTATTGCGCTAAAGCGCCAAAAAATTAGGAACGGTCTTGGCAAGGCGATGACTATTGTTCTTTATCGTTTTTAATGGTCCGGAAAATTTTTAGGCGATTTGGGCCCGGTCTCCCGGATGCATGTAGATGGCCTGAGCTATAACCCACAAAAATTTGGTAATGAGGCGAAATTCCAGTTGTATAGCCCTAAAACACCCAAAAAATGAGGAATAGTCATGTAGAGGAGATGACTATTGTTTCTTAGGTCATTTTGATGGTCCGACAAAATTTTAGGCGATTCGGGTCCGGTCGCTCAGATGCGTGCAAATGGTGTGGGCTAGCACATAAAAATCTAGGAATCGGACAGATTTTCAGTTTTCTGGCCCTAAAACGCCAAAAAACGAGGAAGGATCATGGCGAGGCAATGATTATTGTTTCTTATAATGTTTTTGATGGTACGACAAAATATTAGGCGATTTGGGTCCGGTCGCCCAGATGCATGCAGACAGCGTGGGCTATGCAAACGAAAATTTGAAAATCATGCGGAATTCAAATTGTATGGCCCTAAAATGCCAAAAAACGAGGAACGGTCATGGCGAGGCAATGACTATTGTTTGTTAGGTCATTTTTGATTGTACGATAAAATTTTAGGCGTTTCGGGTTTAGTCGCCCGGATGCATGCAGATGGCGTGGGATTTAGAACACGAAAATCTGAGAATCGAGCAAAATTCCAGTTGTATGGCCGTAAAACGCCAAAAATGAGGAATGGTCATGGCGAGGCGATGACTGTTGTGGTAATTTTTGATGGTCCGGCAAAATTTTAGGCGATTCGGGTCCGGTCGCCCAGATGCATGCCGATGGCGTGGGTTATAGCACACGAAAATATGAAAATTGGGCGGAATTATAGTTTTATGGCACTAAAACGCCAAAAAAGAGTAATCGTCATGGCGAGGCGATAACTATTGTTCCTAGATCAATTTTGATGATTTGGAAATATTTTTAGGCGATTCGGGTCCGGTCGCCTTGATGCATGCAGATGGCTTGGACTATAGCACACGAAAATTTAGGAGTCAGGCGGAATTCCAGTTTATGGCCCTAAAATGAAAAAAAAAATAAGGAACGGTCATGGCGAGACGATGACTATTGTTCCTTAGATTGTTTCTGATAGTGTGTCAAAATTTTAGGCAATTCGGTTCCGGTCACCTGGATGTATGCAGATGGCGTGGCTATTGCATACGAAAATCTGGTAGTCAAGCGGAGTTTCAGTTTTGTGACCCTAAAACGCCAAAAAAATATAGAACGGTCATGGAGAGACGATGACTATTGTGCCTTAGGTATTTTTTTATGGTCCGATAAAATTTTAGGCGATTCGGGTCCGGTAAATTTTAGGCGATTCGGGTCCGGTCGTCCGGATGCATGCAGATGGCGTGAGCTATACCATAAGAAAATTGAAGGCCAAAAAAAAGGAACGGTAATGGGGAGGCGATGTCTATTGTTCCTGAGGTTGTTTTTCATGGTCCGAATTTATTTTAGGCAATTCGGGCCCTATCTCCTGGATGAATGCAGATGGAGTGGGTTATAGCAT